AATCACACAATCACAGGGGAGATGATGGGGCGGCGGGTGGGTGACAAGAAGACCCTGCAAGCGTTTTTAAAGTCAGAGTTCACTCTTCAAATTACATTTACAGAATATATATATATATACTGTATATATATTTATATACATACAGAAAAGATATTCCCCAAAGAAAAGATTAAGATACCACTAAAAATGCAATGATGCGAGGAGAAATCATAAAAACAAACTCAAATGTTCAGCTGGAAAAAAAAGCATCATTGTCCTATTTACAGATGCACCTGGCCACCTTTTTCCTGCCTATAAAAATATTATACATTTTTTATTATTATTTTTTTTAAATAATGGTAAAACTGTTGATCAAGCCGTTATCTGAATTGTCCCGAGACAATTAATTCCATTTTCCAGTTTTACCATCACATTGTAAACTGTGCTTACGTAACCACTGTCGTCTACCCCGGTTATCATGGCATCGTAGAATATACAAATATGAATCAGTGTAAAATCACAGCCGTACACATTTTTTTGATCCTGTTACAATGGTAGAACTGTTCATCAGCTGCTTTGTGTTTTCCTTTAAAAATACAATTTGTTTGACGACGAACGGAACAGCTTCTAATTGTGTCACCTGAAATGCGATGGGCGTATTTCTGTGATACCGTAAGACCACTTTTTGAACACAGGTGGATTGAGTCTAGTGATGCTGTGAAAAATGTCCTCATGATGTGAATAATCAAAGCGTAGAAATAGAGCACACACTATAAATACAGTCACTCTGGCCCAGTTCAGCAGTCAGGCCCTCCAAAGTCCTTATTTCTAGGCCGGATAGGTCTTAAAGGACAGAGAAGGGCTGTCCCATTTCAAAGGTCCCCACACTGGCGAAAAGTAATCTGGCTTTTTTTTTTAACTTTGGAGGACCTCACTGGTTTATCATTTGCAGCCTTCAGTATCCCACAATCAGTTGCGCACCCGTCAGTTTTTACCCCGAGTGGTCAGGCAGTCCTCATCAACTCATATGATGTCACCGGATTTTATCATGAACCAATGAAACAGCTGTAAATAATGTGACAAAAACTAGTTGTTGTTGGCAACCAAGTGGACACAGGTTGGAAAGTTATTTAGAGATTTAACCTGGTATAAACTACCAGTTGTCCATCGTGTGCTGAAGTAAAAATCATCTTATGAAGTCAGATCCTGTGAAACCTGTCCCACATACCCGCTGGTATTTAAATACAGGTTATCTGAGGACAACTGCTTCAACTCAATGAGCTGATGAGGAGCACCTGAACCCATCAGGTCTTTGTTAATCTAGTCTGATTTGGCACACGAGTTCAACCTGGGTTTAAGTTCCTCTAAAGCACAAACATCCAGTCCCCTAAATGGTGACACAGTTAGTAATCCCCTTAAAGTTAATCAGAGAACGACGTAAGACAATGAAGCTGCATAAAACTCACGATGATGAGAAAAAAAAAATAAAACAAAAAATATACACTCCATTTACAACACATATGATATCGTTTACAGACAAAAACCAGAAAAAAGAACCCCAAAGGTAGATGTGCAAAATCAATAAACTGTTACCATAAGGCTGATTTACTGGGTGAGCAGTCAGTATCGACAGGAAGTTATTGTGCTCCTTTAAATAATTACTGTACTATGCCTGTGAGACCTGCCTTCACAGAGAGCACATCTTTTCACATTAAGCTATGACTCATTTCAGCATTTGATCACTTTTTCCCTTTCAGAGCGTTTTGGTCGTATTCACTTCCACACATAGCTGCTCTTTAGTTTTTCACTGCTTCGGCTGCACAACAGTGTTTGCTACATACAATTCTACAGTCACCTCCGAGGAGAAAGAAAGAACGGCAATTAACTCTGGTCTCCTCTGCCAGTTACAGTGCACTCGCACCTTCTCCCCTCGTAGCTTTTGTAACATTGATGCATTGGCCGGGTAACATTTCTTGAATGCTAATACCGCGGTTTTAACCTCGCTGCAGGATTACAACCTATTGCCTGTCGTTCAGGGTTTCTCAGCTGGTGCACTGGGTGAGATGTCGGGTAACATGATTTCCCCACAGAACAACAAGGGAAAGTGGATGAATTAGCATTCAAAAAGCTAAAAGCCCCTTGTGATGGTTGCCAGCTTAGAGCACCAGCAGCTTTTCTCCTCCACAAGATTGCCTTTATTTTTCCACAGAGATCCATTTCAAAGCCTTCCGGTGACTGTGCTGCTCTCGCTGCTCTTAGATACACAGACGTACAGTAGTCTACAAGCACTACTACTAATACCTTATGGGTGATGGTAAAAATAGACTTACGTAACCGACTTTCAACTGTAAAAACGCAGAGGGGACAGTTTCACCGCACACACTTGCACAAAGAGGATGTATAGCTAAGTGTCGATTTAAAGTAGTAAATCTGAAATCAGTAGAACAATCACAATCTCAGAAAGTGTAAAGACAGCAGATCTAGCACATCAGGTAAATCAGAGTACTAACAGAACAAAGCCAATGCTAGAGTGATACTTAACACAGTAAAATTCACTATAAAATTCACATTTCTGTTGAGTTGCACATTTCACCAGTGCATCTACTGTGGTATTATGGCACTAATCTATCTTCCTTTATACTTTTATTTCAATAGGTTTGATGTCCCTTTATGATTTGGCAACTTGTGCCTCGGCTGGAGCTCCGCTGGATGATTATTATTCCTCATAAAACCTGAGAGGCGGAGAAAACACTGTGCCAGGGCAACATCTGTGTTTTGAGCAGTAAATCATCAGCACTGCTCATCTGAATCTTTAATATAGAGGCACAAGGTTGTGTAACAGTGTTTGTGTGTTGGTACGTACGTCAGCAGTGGAACATGCACAGGGATTGGACAGCCTCCACCTTTTATGACCCCATCATTTATTACTAAGGATGAACTATATGAATTTAATCTTCTGTTGCGGGATGTAGAGTGTCATATTGCAATGGCATTAAACTGTGTGTTGTGATCGAGGGGAAATTTCTGGAGAACAATGCGGAGGATCACAGTCTGGTTTTGGTTAAAGGGGTGCACCACCGATGTCAGACATTAAGTGAACTTCTTTAGCCGGTGAAAACACGCGTATCGCACCTTTCCAAACATCTGATGAAATACAGCTGGTGATGCCGTCGAGGATGTCATTAATCTCTGCTTAGGCGTCGGATTTGTAGTCAAGGTGTCAGGCGTGAGCGAAGCATCCAGGACTGAGGAGGAACATAACAAAACATGCTGTTGAGTTGCATGATGGGAGATGTGGGATCCAGTGTTTGTGGAGCGTGACTGAACTAGAAACTAAAATTCAGGACGTCTCAGCTTCTGACGCTTTGAGATCGTTTTAATCTGTCTCTTTCCCCAACATTATGAAAGTGCAATATTAAATCACTTTTAATCTAGTTAAATAAATACTGGAACATGTCATCCCGTGGATAAAATCTTGTAGGTGAAATATTGCCTGCAATTACTGAGTAAACCAAGAGATATCCCAGTGATAGCTACTTGGGTAAAAAAAAAAAAAGAAAATTAAACAAATTTCCTGAAGTTAAATATCCTTGTGTGCCACCTGACCCCATTTATTAATACTATGATATTGTTCACAGGGTCACGATGCTCCTTAGTTAGTAAAATGTTTACGAAACTCAAGTGTTGTCTCGCTGTGAATTATGGCTGCAACATGATGGAGAAAGATGCATGAATTGTCGCTTAGAGCGAGAATAACAGCAAAGTCATTTGGCTGTGCCAGAGCATTAAGTGCTATTAAATTATCAACCCCTGCCTAAATTAGGCTTCAAAGTCATTTGACGACAGATGCTAGTGGTCTCCATCAGAGTTTAATGTGGCATCTGGCAGTATTGTATGAGTACAGAAAGCTAGCCATCAGTAGATTCACTTGTAATGTCTCCCCATTAATGTCAAACACCAATACAAAAGAAAGTGTCCCATTTTCACTTTGAGTTCTGCTGTAAAAACGTAGAGGAGGTCTCTTTAGAGAGTTCTGACAGTCCCTCCACCTAAACCAGCATGACCCTAGGAGACGGAGCAAACCGTGGCTACGTGGTCAGTTTCCTGTTTTTATGATATACAACAGTGTGAACACAGAGAGGTGCAAACCGGTCTTTGATGCACTTTAACATCTGTCGAGACACAACTCAGTCCACGGAGCCTTTTTCCAGGTAGTGACTGTCGGGTAATGACGTGTAATTGGCTTATTTACAGCTCTGCAGACGTCACCTCTTTGCCCTCTCCACAGCGCTCGTTCGTGGCTCGATGTCTGTGCTGTTTATCCCGTCCGTTATTAGTGAAACACGTTGTAAGACAAAGTGACAAAGTAAACAGATCCCTGATGAATAAACAGAAAAAACTATGCTTTGATAAATAGTCTAAAATCCTATGTCTTCCCTTGTTCACGTTCCTGTTTAAGGAATGGTCCGTTCCCAGGCACCTGTTCCACTGAACCATTATTTCTCGTACTGCGGCAGCCATCGTCAGTCACAACACTCCTATGAAGGTAATCTTGAACTGGATGGCTTGCTGGCTTGCTCCGAACTGGATTGGTGCAGAAGGGGAACAGGACAGAAAACTAATGTGGGAATTAAAGGGTCATCTTCTGAGCGATCAACCTTTTAAATCCAAACCTAGCCATGCCAATAATCTGTCGAACGCTTTCAACCAGGTACTGGGTGATATCACGGCCGCGGTGACATTTACTTTCCTGCTGACCCTTTTTTTTCTGCGCTGCACCACTGGCTGCCATTATCGGTACACTCTGTCTTCCAGCACAAGGTCAATTGAGCTTCTCTTCCAGAATATATTTCAAGTGGCAGCGGGCTTATCTGTCAGCATGTGTGTTTACGTATGAATTAATGTACGGTTGTTATTGGTGTGTCAAGCCTACAGGAATGTTAACATGTTTCCAGGTATGATATGAGCTGTGCATGAATTCCATTACTGGTGCAACAAAAGCCAAAGGACTGTGTGGGCAGACATGCGAGCCACATCTGGGCCGTTCAGCACGACTGCAGGTTTGCTGGTAAGACGCGACGCGACTCCGTGTGCATGTGTCACTTGTTAGACTGCACCCGAGCAACAGCGATTTGTGAACACCGCGACGTGCACATCTAGCTGAGTGGAGAATGTTCTAAAAGGAAAAGGTGATTCATGGGCGTGTAAAGCAAAGCATGTAAGGTCATGAAAATAATCCTCTTTGGGATAACCTCAGTTTATTTCTCCTGCTTCTCTTATTAAACGTCTCCTTTCGATCTTTGATTGTGTTCTTTATTTGCCTTACTGGTGCTAAAGATGGCAGGACAGTTTTCTCCGGGACAAAACCAACCTCAAAGAGACATCTCTACTTGCTTTAAGGGTCATGACCGAGGATGGAGTTAATCAAGATGGTTTGAATGTCACACGAGGCTGCTGTCAGTGACTCTTATTGTAGGTCTGCCATGAAAAGACAGAACCTTAGAGTGGGAATACAAGGTTTGCAATCAGACATGACAAAGAGAACTGTTCAGGGAAGGTGCAAGGAGAACCCACGTTGAGAAGTACTGCAGGGAAAAGAGAGGACTGTTTGCGTCCATTCACCTCCACCCATATCCCTCCATTCATCCCTCCAATGTGCTACAGGTGGGTCACTACACCACAGTGTTCCTCTGTCTGTATGGAGGGGGTGGCAATACATTGCCCGCTTTCATAGCAGCCTCAGACAAGTATTCCTGGTTTTCGGCCACAGCAGGGCGAATGCGTCCGTTCTGCCGGTAGAAAAAGCGTGTGCTGCAGTCCTGCAGGTACTCAGGGTTGTGCAGTGAGGACTTCGGAGGGAGACTGTGCTGCCAGTATTCAGGATTGTCAAAAGTGGCTTTCTTGCCTTTCTTATCAAACATGATGGTGTTGCTGGTGATGCCTGAGTGCAGAGCGTGTCCTGAATGCCCTGGATGCAGGGTGTGCGATGGATACGACGGGTGGGGGAGGTGACCAGGGGGTACCACATATCCAGTGGAGGAAACAGTGTGGCTTGATGTTGACGGGTTCACTGTCTGCAGTACTGATTGTGCGGCAGAGGACCCAGGGCCAGAGATGGAGACTGCGCCAGCCAATCCGTTCTTGTCCCCGGGGTTAAGGAAGGTATTCAGGTACAGCGGCTCGTTGATGTACTCATCATCACCGTGAGTCGACTGGCCTTTAGGGGCGGCGGCAGCTCCGGCCACATGCAAGGTGTGGCAACTCGCTCCATCAATCACTGTGTGGGCGTCGCCGTTCCTACGACGTGTGACGAAGGGGTTTTCCTCCACGGGGTTGAGATAATCTGGAGGGGGGAAAAAAAGGGATGGTAAGATTAGCTAAGATCTTTTCATCTCTATTTTCTTGAGTGCTAAACACACAAATGCTTATTAGATGTTTTAAAGCCTTCAAAATGACAGTGAGTAAAAGATTATTATAACACTTTAGATGAAAGTTTTACAGAAACACCACTGATTGCCACAATGAGAAAAGAAAAACGATGCAATTTAGTTCTCTTTAGCCACTTTATGGACACACAAAGTACAGTACCGACGAGGAGTTCTCAAAACTGTTAAAATAACCTGAGCTCTTGTCTCTCATGGCAGTCATGTAGCCGTCCTGGTCCTTGTCTGCTTTTGCTCCTCGCTCTGATAGAAGACCCGTTGGATCGGCACTGTAGCGCTGTCCACTGCTGTCCTCCCCTCCACCTTGAGAAGCAAAAAGACAGAAAGAAAGAAAGAAAGAAAGAAAGAAAGAAAGAAAGAAAGAAAGAAAGAAAGAAAGAGGGTAATTTAAAGTATAATAGTCTGTAAATGAAAGGATCCTGGATACAGCCAAAAAATATGAATCATTACTTTAATACAAGTTGTTTTTGTGTGCTGTATCTACATGTGCAGGACCACGGCTAATGCCAAGTACACAAGTTTAGGATGAACTGACTCCTGCTGCAATCACAAAAGTCCTGTGTCACTATCAGTCCTCACATATTGTGGAGCAGAAATGGCTCCACTGTTCCCCAACTTGGACAGTTTCCAGTAACACTGAGCAACATCACATTATGTTGCTCATCTGGTTGGTGGTGTTACCACATTACCTTTGGTACATTCAAGTCCAGCCAATTAAGGGCAAAAGTCCTGATCAGTTTTTTTTTCCATTGTTGTGTCTACAAACTATACGAAATCAAACCTGGTCTAAAACTAAATGCATGAGCTCACAGGAAAAGCTGCATATCTGATGTTTCAAGTGACAAAAATGTAAAAAAGAGGGACGTTCCTCTGGAGTTCAATCATGTTCAACAACGTTATCTAATGTTTTGTTCAGGGAGTCAAAATTACAGCTTCAATCACACACAGAACTCTTATTTCTTCATGACTACATATGTGTGTGTCCAGTGTGTTTGTTCACGAGACACTAGGATGAGAAGCCCCAAACATTTGGCAGTGTGGCCCAACAGAAATGAAAAAAGCCACGACTGCTTCTTTTTTGGATAATATTCTGCTTTACCTTGTCCCGCCGTGAGAGCTGAGCCAGCTCCAAGGGTGCTCGACCTGGGAGAGGCCTGCTTCCTCAGGGTGCCGTTGCAGCGAGGGTCGTCCTGGCTGCCGCGACTAAACCCGCCACCCATCTGCCCTCCTGAGGCGAGGTCCTGTGGAGGGAGGCAGCCGACAGACACTGGCGGGACAGAGACCACTCTGGGGAGGGTGGCCAGCATGTCCTCCATGCTGAAACTGGGATCCTGGCAGCTAAACTGGTTCTGAGCAGAGACAGGGTTTAGTTAGGACAACGGTGCCGGAACGTGAGACCGGATTACAAGAAGAGCAATTTATCAAGATGAAGAAAAAACATCCCAATGCAACAAATAAGTAGAGAGAGTTGTGGTTAGTTTGTTTTTATTATTCCTCAATGGATTATTAAAGTTCACCTCAGTTTCCAAGTGAGGGGAAATGTGTGTGTTGTCCAGTTTTTGGTCGACAGTAGTTTGTACAAAAAAGACAAAGAAAAAAATTAAATAAAGAATAAAATTAAACAAAGAGTACCATACACAATATTGTGCAGCATTAAAGTGACAATTCAAGTGCTTTGTACCATTGTTCATCTGTAATATTTAAAAGTAACAGGCAGGGGAGACAAACAGCAGTGCCAAACAATGATATGGCAGCATGACTGCCAAGGACAATTTAATTAAAAGGATTTTAATTAAAAGGCTCCATGCAGCAAAGTCTTAAAGTAGCCGTATCAGGCCTGCCCTGCTGTGTGCATTTGTGTCTACGCTCATAACAAAAAAGTGCTTTTCAGAACCTCACCAGGAGCTTTATTCTGATTTATCTTTGTTCCCCCTCCGTATTTCCAGCAAGAAGCTGGTTTTCCATTTTACATTTCCTTACTTAATTTTCCTTGCACTATGTCTGAGAAGTCTGGAGCCATACTAATGAGAGAGAAAATTGGTTATTTTCCCGTCGGGCATCTTTTGCCATGAACACGGAGTCAACAGGATTGACGTTATGTTTCAGTATTTCTGGTCTGTGAATGAAGCTGCAGGTGTAAATCCCACTTATTTAGTCATCAGGTTGTCCAATCATTAATTTGGCATCTTGTATATCATAAAGAAATGGTTGCTCAGGCATGAACCCAGAGCCTTTTTAGTCGAGCTCAGAAATGGGTGAAATACTGGCAATTTGTAAAGTTTCTTTGGCACCGAAACTGTCAAATTTAATCGGGTTCCATGACAAGTGATCTGCAAATAGCACCTTCAAACCAAAGTGTGACGACTTGCATGTCCTCGTTGAATCCTTTTTAACTCAGCTGAAGAAAACAAATGCCTCAAATTATCCAGAACTTTCAAGAGACTATTTAAGGTTCATCCTGTGAGTGTGTGTGTGTGTAGCTGCATCATTCATTTTCATTGTTCATACATCCCTGTTGGAGTCTTCCTCACCTCCGTACGCAGCGCTCCGTACTGTAAGCCTGAAGCTATTAGTCGAGGCTCCGGAGCTCACGCTGTGTTCTCATTACACCGTAACAACAGGTATAACTACTAAATTTCTCTCTTTCAGGCCTCATTTACACTCATCTTCCTTCATCTTGCCTTGTCTCCGCATTCCGACAGAAAACACCATCGCTAGCCCGAACACAAAAGAGCACGATTTGTAAGAATGACGTTTGAATACAGTCAAATTATTTCCCTAAAATCATCCCCCTAAAGGCCATCATGGGCATATTTCACTGTAAGGAAACTAAAACATCTTTTTTTTTATAAGATGCAAGTCAAGTCAAGTAACATTCAGATGTTAATTAGTCCGAGCACGAGGAGCTTTGCAGCGACGCTCAATGTTTTTATGCGTAAATATTTTGCCGGCCACAATAATTAAGTTCATTACAATCACCAACATGATTTATGTAGATGAAAGTAACTGTATAAAAAAGCATCAAATTAATTCTGCATTCGAACTAATAAGAAAGCCTAAAAAACAGTGGAGGGTAATTTTACAAATATTATGCAAATAATAATCTTTCATCCGCTGAAATGCACCAAACAGAGCTGGAGACATGCCGCTCATTGGCATTCAGCAGACATTGTTATCCTGACACAAACGCAGGGGGATATTGGAATACAGAATGACTGAATTCTGGCTGTGTGACTGGTTTCTGAGATAGATTTAAGTCCAAAAGAAAGACGATGACCATTTGAACAGTTGAAGAGGATCTGGCTGTAAACCCCATTTTCGAAGACGGCAATTACCATAGTTTCACAATGGAGAAAGACGATGGTAAACAGAGCGAGAATGGGAAAGCGAGAGGAGGGTGAGAGTGAAACTGAGAAAGCTGTGTGAGTGCAGTTTTAAGACTTCAATCTTTTGTGCTCTAACAGGAGAGTGCTGCAGTACATGCTGAGAAAACTCATTCCCACATCACTTTAGAGGCCATCTAAATGATCTGAGTGACTACTTCGACTTTATATTGTCTCCTTTTCCATCACGGTTCAGTGCTCGTCGTCCCGCTGCTACACTCAATAAGAGTTGGTTAATGAGAAATGGTCATCAAGAGGCCGTGGAAAATTAAAAGATAAGAAAGTGAAATATAATTACTGCAAAGACACAAAAATAACATACCAAGAAAAACCAAATTCAAGTTGATTAATAACCACACAAGAACTTCATGCATACTGAGTGACCAAAATAATGAAAACTGGAAAACAAAACCAGCCTGGTTTGTTTAAAATATTTTTTTAAAAGTTTGCTGGTTTCTTGTGTGTCTCCCATAACCGCACTTGATGCAATAGATGCTTTTATTTAGAGAATGCTCTGACAGGATCGCCTGAGTTCAAGAACATAAATTATTAAAACAGCATATCCCTTGTACTGGAAATCTAAGCCAAATCATTTCTTTAAATAAAGAAGAAAAAAATAAAAGAAGATAAACTTTTGACCACGTTAAAAATGCAGCAGCGTACACTTGGTAATATTTCGACTGCTTGAAAACCTGTTTTGACAGAATCTGTGATTAGAGACCTAAAAAAAAAAAAAAATTCCACCAGAGGAACACGAACATCCTGTTCAAAAATAAGAAGTGAGTCAAAAATATGGCAATGCTCGGTTTGGAGATGAAGTGAAGTGTTGAGGCTGGTAAACTGGTGCAATCAGGCGATAATGTGCTCAAAAGCACTTTTCAGAAAACACTAAAACTCTTACTGCAGAGTTACAGATGTGGATGTGTGAGTATAGACTAAAAAACAAACATCTTGTTATAAATAACAGCAAACATATGTGTTCAAAGTCAATCTAAACC